CAGGGAGAGATGGGAGTTGCAGCTGAACAAACAGGCGGCAGTCAGATCACAAAATGTCTTTAGAGCGAAACTGAGGAGTTCAAACTCTAGTGTGAAAGCTCTGGGGTGTCCCTGAAGGCTTTTTAAACAGAAGCTTTATGTCATCTGCTGTGCATGTTAATAAGGCTTCTCTGGCAGTCAGGCTGATTAGAGGGGGCCACCCAAGAGGCAGAGAGACCAGTTCTGAGACTGTTGCCTGGGAGAAAAGTGAGAGGCCTTTGAAATGAGGCACTGACCGGGGCACAGATGCAAGGAGAGGGCAGAGTCAAAAGATAAGAAGGACCCACTGGCTGATTGTGTGGGCCCCTAGGAGGTGCTTTGTAAATATTTGTTGATTTAATGAATTAGTTCTAGCTGAGCCCAGATTGTACAAATGGGTGCACTTCCCCTGGGATCCTAGGTGGTATCTGTTGCAAAGTGAACAGGTGGAGGGGCGTTTCTTTTCAGCTGAAGGGGAAAGGGGCAATAGGGAGAGAGACAGACAAAGGAGATGTAGGGGAAGGTGACACTCCCTGTCCTGTTGATGGCTCTGGTGACAAGGGAACAAGCTATGATCATGAAAGACTGTGAGAGACACTGGCCCCAAGTAGTGCCTCTCTGGGACCCAGGGACAAGAGCTGCACCGAATTGGGTGCCGGCCGTTCCGTACTCCGCCCCTTCCCTAACCCCCTTGCCACATGGACTGCAGGGCAGATTTGGTTTCCTGAAGGATCAGACTAAGTTCACCAGCAGGCAGATGCAATGCAGAGCAGATCCACAGCGGATCCACAGCATCAGGAAAGATGTTAGCGGAGAACTTTGGGGGCAACCAAAAGTGGCCAGGGTAGAAGACATAAGCAGGCCGGTACTTAAACACAAGAGAAATACCAGCCTACCGCTCTGGGACTCTAAGTAACTGGAGATTTCGAGGGCAGGTGGCTAAAAGCTACTGTAACTTGGGCATTGATGTTAATATCACCTTGTTTACACCTAAGTGTCTATAATACTGGGGACACTTGGGTTACAGGATGAACGATATAGGATACAGGACGTGAGGCGGGGTTCACTTCTTCATTCATTTATTGAGCCCCTGTGTGCCATGCACAGTGCTGGATGCTGGGCGTACAGCAGCTTATAAAGCAGACGATCCCTGCCCCCAGGGAGCTTACAGGCGAATAGTTGTCCAGATCAGTCCAGCGCCTTCACCTGTGCACTATTCAGGAAGAGCGCTGGCAATCACGAGATGGTCTAATGGGAAGGATTATTTGAGATCAGGGGTCAGAAAAAGAACAGTTTGAGAGAGTGACATTTAAACCAGGTAGAGGGAACAGCAGGTACGAAGGACTTGGGGACAAATCCTTGGCCATCTGGAGGCGGAGAGATGGCCAGTGGGCCAGGGGCATGAAGGCGAGGAGGGGAGAGGCCCAGGAGGGGGCTGGAGAGCGAGGCACAGGCCGGGCCTCCCAGGGCCTCGTTAGGACGGTGTATTTTCACTTAAGTGCGCTGGGCAGAGGCTTGATGTGATCAGACTCGTGTTTTACAAAAACTGCTCCAGCATCTGCATGGAGCAGGGTCTGGGAACAAGAGGGCACACAGGGAGAAAAGTGTAGAGGCTAATTCAGGTGCCGAAGAGAGAGCTGTCGCTGGCCTGGCTCTGGTGATGGAGAGAAGCGAAGGAACTTGAGCGGTATTTAAAATAGTTGACGCTGTTTTTCTCATGCCCTTGCCTTGTTATAGATAGGCTGAAGCGCTGATTTTAGACCAGGCAAACAGCAGATATTTTCAGCATGTCCATCTGCACCCCCCCCCGGCACCTTTTCAGCTTTGGGCTAGTGCAGGTCTAATGATGTCACACGGGCCATTCCGCTGCCTCCTAGCAAGTCCACACCTGATGGGAATCAACTTTACATTCAAAGATTTCCTGAGAAAGCTTTCACAACCTATACTCATGTTGAAAATAATTACTATTAGGAAATCTCTGTTTGTACTTCATCTGACTGCCTCTCACCCTAAAATTTCCTGATTCCCAATGGAGATGAAGATGCTGAAATAGCAAGTCACCTGGGCAAATGTGATGTCATAATGATAGTTCTGAATCATGTTTGTCTATCCCATAGCCAAAGCAACCCATTTGTTAGCAACAAAGAAAGATGCCCCAGAAAAGGGATCCCATTTAATTTTTGTAGCTGTTTAGCTCACTGTGAAGTTCTTTGCCCTTGCAACTCAAAGTGCAGTCCCGGACCCAGCAACCGAACTCCGGAGATTGGTAGAAACGCACAACTGAATCAGGACCTGCATTTTAACACGCTCCCCAGACAATGCTTTGGCACATTTATTTTGAGGAGCGCAGGCCTTGGATTGCCCTAAGGACATCTAAAAGTGGGTGGGCAGGGGCCGGTGCCAGGACTTTGAAATGCAGCGAGCCTCAGCAAGCAGTGTGGGGAAACCGAACTGGTCCAACAGGAACTGGATGTTCTCTGGAAGTTCCCTGCTCCCGAGTCACACAGGGCATTTCTGCGGAATTCAGAGATGATGTGCTGTTTCCTGGTTGTGGGCCTGGTGAGCGGTGCTGCGGGGACAAGCCCCCCGAGCGGAAATGCTGTCAGGTGGACGCACTTGGCAGGCGCTCCTCCAGACAGCACCGGAGGCCATGGAGAGCCAGCTGCCCCTCCCCTGGCATGGACGGTTTGGTCCTTGTCCTCTTAGCTTGGTCCGAGGGCCCTTGTTCTCTGGGAGGTCAGGGTGACATCTGCTTCCTTCTGCATTGAGGCACGTGAGGAGCAGGGTGTTTTAGCACCTCAGCGAAAAATGTCCCCACGGTGGCCTCTGGTGGAATAGAAGGCCTGGTCCAGGGCTCTGAAAGCCCTGCCCACACCGTATGGTCAGCCCCTGCAGGCCACGGGCCCTGCCCCCACGGCAGGGGGCAGGGGTGGTGTGCAACACAGGCGCCAGGCATAGCCGGTGCAGCCAGGGCCCTTTTTGGTTACCGCTTTCTCGAGAAGTGTTTCAAGGCGTGAAATCCAGGCCAGAACCAAATCACTTCACTCTGTCCTCACTGGGGCTGATCCTCCCACATAGTCAGACAAATGGATCAGGTTGGTGGGCAGTTTAAAGCATATGGTTTAAATGCTGCAAAATCAAACATTTATTTTGGCTTTCAGTTACCGTAACATGTTCGCATTACCTGGCACCACACAGCTGATGCGGCCTCCTTCGCCTTTGTTCTCTCGCCTTCACTCCTGCGGTGGCTTTGCCCCCTACCTGCCGGTGTTAATTTCTCTGCTCCAGTTCCTCCTCCCCACCTGCCTCGCCCCTCCTCCCGGGGCCTCGTCTGCCCGCTGACTCCAGCGTCTTCCTCCCCTGTCCCACTTAACCTCTTGCTCCCTTCCCTCCCTTCGTGCCCCTCACAGTGCTCCTTCATCTTTTGAAATGTCCTCGCTACTTTTTCCTCCCCTTGCTTTTATTCTCAGAGGCCACGGGATGCTCCTCACTCGCGCTCCACTCGCCCACTTCTCTCAGGCTGTTTTCTCTCCCCTCCTAAAACCACCACAGAGCCCCTTCTTTTCCTGTTTTTCTCTAAGGGTGACGTGGGGACCGGAGAATCACAGAATTCAGAATCAAAGAGACACAGGCTACGTTACACTGACAGTCACTTCTGAGTCACAAGCTCTTTCTTTTTCTTCTCTCACCTTTGACGATGGCTGCCCCTGTCCCTCCTTAGAGCAGGAAGGGCCGGGGAAGAAGGAGCAGACCCCCCCACTCACCCCACAGGCCCCTCGCTAACGCTGTCACCCCAACCTTTTCTTTCATGTCTCAGAACACCAACATGCACATTCACGCCCTCTAGGTGTCCTCGGTGCAGATGTGTGCTCCCAGCTCCCCTGTGACACTGAGCTTCCTTCTCCAGTGTCCCTTGTTCCTAGCCAGGCTGGTCTGTGCTTCCTGCCCTCGGATGAGCACTAGGAAACGCAATTCTATTTTGAGGTGCTGGGTAGTGATGAGGCCATGGGGTTCTCCTCCCCAGGTACAGCTCTTGGTAGGGGGAAGGTAGCAGCCGAGGTTCAGTAGTCAGGGAAACAAGAAGCTCATCTGAAAGCCAGGTCCCCCCAGGGTCACGTTCAACCAATCAATCAGCCTGTCCCTAGTCAGTGCTCTTGTGAGGTGGGCTTCTCTATGTGCCACTGCGCAAAGCATCTTCAAAATGCAGGAAACCAAGAAGGAAAACAAATAGAGCCCCCAAAAGACACCCGTGTAACCACAGAATAATGGCTCTAACATCAGCATTCTTGGCAACGGCTTCTCCAGGCGCTTCGCAGGATCTAGGATGCTACTTTCTTGGAAGCTGGGGACATGGAGGTTACAGCCAAGTAAGCCACAGGGAGATTGATGAAAAAATCCAGTCCCAGTGCTTGGCTCCTCATGGTGTCCCCTTCTCTCCATGTCAGCCACAAGCAAGGGGACTGGCCAAAGAGCAGTCACTTGAAGGAGATGCAGGTCCCAGCCTTGCCCAGCCTCGGGACACTTGCGCCCCAGCCCCGCCCTCATAGCCTGGCTGCTCCAGCTCAGGCATGTGTGGCCGCGCCCGGATTCTCGATGCAGCTGTGCTCGCCCTCGGAGAACAGGAGCGAAGCTGCCCTACATGCCCTCGAGGTGAGCGGGGCTCTCAGGTCAGCCGCAACGTGCCCTGCCAAGCCCGACTCCACCCTGCCGCTCCGCAGCCAGCGCTGGGGTGTGGACCTCCGCTGCCGAGCCGCCCAGTGACAATTCCCAGAACCAGGAGGAACAGGTGCCATCTTTAGAACAGGAAGAATTTCAGTTTCACTTCTCTGCCCCCCACTCCCCATCCCCACCACCTTCTGCACCCCCGCTGAGGGGAGTAGAAAAACAAGGATGAATATAGGCCTCCACCTGAGTTACTTTCATATCAGCTAATTAACCAACAAAACTGCCAATAAATTACTGTTATAAAATGTGTGTATACATAGGAATATGTGTATGTAGATGTAGTTCCAGCTTTTCTTCCTTGCTCCCTCTCTTGCAGGCAGCTTCAGACAAAGCCTCTGGCCGTCACCCCCCAGAGGGATTCACCGGGTCATGGGCGCCACGTAGTTGGCAGGGAAGAGGCCCAGTTTGTTGTGCAGGCGGCCAGTCCACCAGGATGGGTTGGAGCTATCCAGGACCTCCACCACCTCTCCAGTGTGGAATCCCAGCTCGTCGTCCTCAAGGGCCTCAAAGTCATACAGCGCCCGGGCCCACCGTACTCGCTGTTGGGGGAAAGCACAGAGGGGCCCGCTGAGCGAGGGGCCGGTCTTGGGACTGTCACACAGAAGAGGATCTGCTATCTCTGGCATCAAGACAAAGTCCTCCGTGCGCAGCCTGCCCCGGAGGCTGATGCATGGCTCTCTAGAGACATCCCAAACCCCACTGCCACTGAAAGCGGACGCTGGCCGCACAGCCGAGCGCAAAGCTCCCAGAGCTCCCCAGGGTCACTCTTGGGACTCAGGACTAGGGCTGGCGGAGATAATATTTCCCAAGGCCCAAGAGAACCCTTGAGAACTCCTCTCTCCCCATCGATAGGTGGTCTTTTTGCTTTCTTCAAGTGACAGAGTGGCAGTGTGCCCAAACTAACAGCCCTTGGTGCTAGACCAGTGACCGCTCCAATAGACCCAGAGCCAAGAAATATGAGAAGGACAGGGCGAGGCCGCCGGCCAAAGAGAACAAGGCTGGATGGCGCTGGGCTGGGGCCGCCCCGCCCGGAACACTCCCCCGGCACCGCCTGGGCTCCCAGCACCTCCGCTTGAGCTCCGGGAAGTTTGACATCTCTGCTGGAGGAGCGGTCTTTTCTCTAATCACCCCTCTGGCCTCCTCCCCTGAGCCCAGAGAGGGAAAGTTCACGTACCCCGGCCACCTGGAGTTGCACCGGGTCTGTGTGTCTCCGGTGCATGAGGGCCGCGTTCATTTCGCTGCCCAGGCCTATGCCGCAGTGCCCGTCGTTTATGTCGAGGCTGCCTCCGCGGCGTTCCTAGAAACAGATGCAAGAGGACCTGTCACCGCGCTGTCAGAAGCAGCCCTCACAGACTCCCCTCGTGCCTTGCTCAGAGGCCATAAACACAGCCAGTGTTCCAGAGTACGTGCTGATGATGACAAATAAACCCTAGATGACGGTGACAGGAGGACGTATGACAAAGGGGCCTCAGATTCTGAAGGCAAAGAGGATGGCAGGTCTCATTTGTTCAATCAAGAAGTGTTCAGCAGGCACCTGCCACGCATCTAGTATTGTACTAAGCACTGGAGATAGGTAGCTGGAAAGAGAAGGCCCCTTGTCTTCATGGAGCGCCAGTTCAGAGGGGAAATTACGCACATTTAAGTGATAAGCGAGCAGAGAGAAGAGTGTCTAGGTCAGCCTGGGTAATCAGGGCAGACTTCATAGAGGAAGTGACGCTTGAACTCCAGCTTAAAGGATTGGCCAGGAGAGGGCATTTCAGGCAGAGGGGACAGCATATCAAAGCCTCAAAGGCGTGAAAGAAGATGCAGTGGACCATTCTGGTAACTAGAGGTGGTCATGGGCGTTTGTGTGGGGAGCAGAGGGAGGCTGCAGGAGATGAGGCTGGGGAGACAGATATGAGCAGCTCACAAAGGACTCTGTGGGCCCTGCGAAGGAACTCAGGACCGATGTTATCTGCCTGCACTGTCCATCTCGCCAAGCCGCCTAAAATCCCATCTGGAACTGGGCACGCGATAACCAGCTAACTAAATAAGCAAGGCTCCGTGGCAGGTGTTAATCCACTTTTCTTGTAGATCTCTGACAGCCGGGTAGGTTAAGAGGCAAGAATGAATTTGAAATTGTGCTTATAGGAAAATGAAGCAATTGTTCACTGAGTCCTAGGGGTAAGAAAGCTGTGTGTGTGTTCAGATGGGGAGCCATTTGATTTGCAGAGGCTTCTTTGCCAAAGCAGTCTCCATATCATATTTCTGCCATTTGGGGGGTCCCAGGACCTTCTTTCTGAACTTAGTGAGACCTGACGGGCTGGGCCAGGCCAACAGCCCCAGGAGCACAACAGAACCCCAGCATTTATTTGCTACGGTTGTTTCCAGCATTATGGAGAGTTTTCACGCACTAAGCAACCCTGGATGCAAGGTGGCCCGAGCCTCCAGGGGGAGGGTACCCTGCTCCATCCTTCCAGATACCTGATGAAAATGGTGATGCTGCATGTACCGCTGCTGCGGTGGTGGGGCTGGGGGATACTGCGAGGGAGGGGGCGGCGGGTGATCTGACAGCTTCCGGTTCATCGAAGGCCGGATTTCTTCTCCCACAGACCCACTGAGGTGTGGGCCTCCCTGGGCCCTCTGGTCCAGGCTGTTGCTCCGGCGACCCTGGGAGAGAACAAAGACGATTGGATCCATCCTCCTCCTACGTCTCCTGGCCATACTGCGCCCTTCAGGCAGCTGTTCCCAGGCTCAGCCCATGACAGCCCCAAGAAACAGCTGATGGGTGGCGAGCATCTTACAGAGAACCCATGGAGCAGACCTCCTGCATCCTCAGATTCTCCCGCTTTGGGGATGCCAGGTCTCTGGTCCACAGACTGGCACTTTCCACATGGTATCCATTTAGTCCATTCTCAGTGGGCTTGTTGTTCTCTGTGTAATCAAGCTTAAATATTCTCTTTTACTGACATAATGCCACTCCTCCTTATCGCATGTTGCCACACCACTGGACATCCTACCCTCCAGATAAGCCCTGCTATTGACTTTGCGTGATTTTGTCATTTGTCACACAGCCTGGTGAAAGAGACCAAAATGCAACACTCTTGCAGCACCATGGAAACCAGGCCTGCACTGGGCATGTTGGGAGGAGCAGGGTCGTCTTCATGCTACAACAGCTTCAGGAGCCGGAGAGAGTTACTTTTATTTACCAGTCCAGAGGGCCCTGGACTTAGTTACTACACACCAGACACTGTTCTAAGCACTTTGGAGAGATGAAATCATTTAACCCAGTTTAAGGCAGTTTTATGTTGCCTTTCCTATCTCTGCATGTACAGCCTAGTAATTAATACCTCTGTCCACTTCCTGTTTAAAATAATTCACAAGGTCTTGCTTAACCTTTGTATTTCTTTCTGAACTTTTGTGTGTACTTGATAGGAACACCCTTTTCTCTTTTGATTGTAATTTCTCAGTCTTAATCAACCAATAACTTGAAAGGGATGGTTTTCTTTGTTTCCCTGAAGCACGTGTTGCTTTGAATGTCTCAATGCCTTTTTAAATAACCCAGCCCTGGGATTTTGACTGTTCCAGTCAATGCTCCTTCTTATACCCATCTTCCTACACTATGTTATTTACTTTGAAAAATATTTTATATATTTCATGTATATGCACGCGTGAATTTACTCATGGAAGGCAAGTTAATGTTTCCTTTGTGCCTATGATGGGCCAGACTCTGTGGCAAATGCTATCACTATATTTTCTCATTTGATAATCACAACAGCCCCGTGAAGGGGGTATTATATTCTCTCCATTCTACAGATGAGAAAACTCATACTCAGAAAGGCTTTCTTAACTTGGCTAGGTAATTAGGATAGCTGGTGATAATATCAGGATTTAAAGCCAGGTCTGTCTGATGCGTTTTCTATGAAAACAATACTCTATATTCCAAATTGTCCCAAGAGCAAGAATTCCAGGGCTAGTTTTCTCCTCCAGTGCCTCCTCCCCACCCTGAACCCTGCCATGAAGCTCCAGCGAGGCCAAAGACTGTGACGTAGTCAGGTCTATAACAAAATAATGACACCCGCAATAAGAGCTCGTGGGCACTGAGTGCTCGCAGGGTGATTGGGGTGATGTGTGAGAGGGGGACACACCCCTTCTAACCTTCACAACCATCCTATCAGGTAGAGGCCACTATCATCCCAATTTTATGGAAGAGGAAACTGAGGATCTGAGAACCTCCAAAGTCACACAGCAAGGAAGTGTTAAGCTAGGATTGAAACTGAGACCTGACTTCAGAATTAGTCTACCTTTCCAAATCCTCAGAGCACCTGCCTATCAAATGCATCGTCTTGGTGGTTCCTGTAAGCCTCTGGCTGCCTACACTCTCTAGGCCGGGCTGGCTGGGGCCTGAAGCATACCGGATCCTCTCGCGTTCTGTCCCTCAGGAAGATCTGCTTCTGTTTCGAGATGGAAGTGGTCCTGTAGTAGTCCACCAGCTTATTTAGGGATGGAAACTTCTCTGTCCATAGGAAGTAATTACCCTTGTTGTCTCTCATGACCTTGAAGTGCTGGACATCATCCTCGTGCCTAGAGACCAAGACAAATCCAAACCGTGTCACACTTATACAATGACAACATCCCCGCCCTCAGAGTTGATTGCAGAACAGGGAGAAATGGGCGGCTTGCTTATCATCACTGGGCAGGTGGGTCGGCCTCATCAAGCTCTTGGGGCAACTCTGGGAAAGGCCTGCTCAAGACACAGGCTGCACTAGAGCAAAAGGTAAAAGGTCGACCGGAGCTGATCTTTCACAAGAGATGTTCCAAGAGCTTTAAAGACTGAGGTCAAAGGCCTTTTAACACTGTTTATCTGGAACATGGCAGCCCTTGAGCCCGTGCTGTGTTAAGGGCTCTGCTGAGACCCAGAGGGGAGGGTCCCAAGCCCTCGTCATCTTTCTGCTACCAGAAATACTTCCAGCCAGCTCCTTCAGGCCATAGACTTGTTGCAGACAGTGGGACACCACCTTGAGAAATTTGTCATGCTTTGTTCTCTACATAGATCTTTTGATCTTGATTTATGTTTTGCATAAATAAAGTTGCAAAGAATTTGGAGCTTTTGGGGAAAGAATTATTATATAGAAGTGTAGAGTGTTAATTGGAAAGGGCTTCAGAGATTGTTTATCCTGACATCTGCATGTTGTAGCTGAGGACACTGAAGCTCAGAGAGATGGAGGGCCTTGGTCAAGGTCACTGCGAGTGAATGGCAGAGCTGAGGCAAGAACCCCAGGTCTCTGATTCCAGCCTGCCACGCCGTGTACACACACTAATTTCTTTTAGATGGGCATCTCCTGAAACCAGCTGGACTCACAAGGGGTTGGCATATTTGCAGCAGGACTGGAGAGACTGGATTTTATTCATTGGGAAAGGGGCACTGGGCCTTTGCCAATACCTCTAGGATATCAAGTTTGTTTGTGAAATGGACATGCATTTATATCTAAAAATTAACTGACATTAATTAATAGTTCCAATTGCCTGATCCAAAAAGTTACGAATTTAAAGAGTGTTGGAGAGTAAAGATACTTAAAGGTATCTTCAGTGGAGTTGCTCAGGGATGGATTTAGTGGTCTGTGTTCAGAGAGGACAGGAATTCTGGTTCCCTCTGGGCTCTGCTCATGGCCAGGTGAACGCATGAGGTGACCCCTGCCAAGCTGCCCTGGGGTGGTAACCAGCACTTTGCAATCACTGCGTGGCCTTCCCCTGGCTTTGGCCGTTAACAGATGTTTTCTTCACTCTAACACTACATGGCTTGACTCATAGTCATTACCCCTCACATTTGGGTGAGGAGGAGGAAATATCCCTGTGGTATAATTATTCATCCACCCCCTCTGGTTAAAGAACACAGAGTGAGAAACATTAACCCTTCTACTCTCCTGAGCCAAGAGGATGGATGCCAGGGTTGCATTTGGTCACCTGGGCCGATGGCAAGCGAGTGTTCTGAGAGGGGCAGAGGAGAGGCTGTGACTCGGCACTCCGGACACTGAAGTCTAGTGTTTCAGACCCTTATCAAATGCTAAGTGATAAAAATACAGTTAGCTCTTAATTATCTGTGTTCATGACAGAAAGCAGATGTATAAATAAATGAATTAGAATGATTTCACTCTGGAATACATTATACTACATTTCTGCAGAATACGTGATAATGATTACAGTAACAATCACTGCCACAAGACGCTGCATTACCTCCATAGCCGGGGAAGACTTTGGCAGAAGTCAAGGCTGACTGTTTTGTAGAATTTACTTTAATCAAAGAAATGTAAACCATGGTTCATAGCTGAAGAAGCCAGAGTCTGCTTCACGCACATCAAAGGCACCAAGAGATGCCCTTCAGCCTAACAATTTACTTGGTCCATCCTATAATCAGGGCCCTCAAGAAAGAGGTTTGACTTGTAAGATTTATTAAGGGCAAAATTTCATTAATTAAGGCCTAACAAGCTTAGAGTTTGTGATACATCAATACTGGCCCGACCTGAAACATCGCCCAAGCTGTGAAAAAGAAAGGACACCTGAGAATTCGGACGAGACCGCAAGGGCACTGTAGACGAGTCCAAGCTATTCTGGAGGACTTTATAGGCACATGCGCATACACACAGTTGGCCCATTATTTGTAAGTCCCTTCTATCTATTCCTTAAAATGTCCACTCTTTCTAAATAATAAAGTGCCCTCAGTTTATCACTTGAGATCAGGTTTCCGTACTTAAGCACTCAAGCTACATGCCTTTCAAAATACATTGAATAATCCAGACCAGCATTTCCTGTCAACTAACTTGACAGTAGGTTTCACTGTCATCCTCCTATACTGCCATCAGCGTTAATTCTTGCACTTTCAAGCCTGAAGCATGACTGGCGATCCCTGACACGCTGACCATGTGCAGTGTGTTCAGGCTTGGGCCTTTGGAGTGTGGGGCTGTGTCACGCTTGGGCCTGGACTGAGTCGCTTCCTGCCGGGTGCCGCATATCAGAGAGATTTTGCTCTTAGGCTCCCCCCCGCCCCCCGCCCCCACCCTCGGCCCCGCCCCCAGCCCTCCTCTGCTCTGCTCTGCTGCCCTCACTTGTAGGTGTCTGTCCTTCTTGTTGTGCAGTCGCCTACAGCTCCATGTGTGTCCTACAGCGATGACTTGGGGTTTTTATTTATCTCTGACCCACTGCAGGCATCCGTCAGTAGCAAAAGGTTACAGTTTAGATGGATGTGGACAATTCTCCTTTCCAGCTTGTTCCCACAAACACTCATGGAGCACCCACGGGGTACAAGGCACTGCTAAAGGTACAAAGAGGAAGCAGATAAAAACCCTGTCTTTCCAGAAGCACCTGGGCTAGAGGGGGAGGCGGACAATTGTACACACAGTTTTGGCCACAAACCAATGTGCTAAGGAGTTACAAGTACATGTTATAGGGAGGAAATGAATATAGTACCACATTTGGTGAGGTGCGTGGGCCTTGCGGCCCCCGGGCTCCTGAGCAATGGGTCACATGAAAGAGGTCACGTCATGCCTTTAGCAGTCTGGGTCAGGGAGGTGTCGGGAATGGCAGGTACCTGACAGAAATGGAGAAGTCCCCTGGGGAGCTCTGGCTGGCCCGGATGATGAAGAAACCAACCTCCTTGCCCATGAGTAAGTTCTCTGCCTGGTGTCGCGAGAGGCCTTCGTGAAACCATCTGTGGATCAGAAGAAACCAGAGGGTCTTGGTGAGATGCCAGAGCAACAGGAGGTGGAAGTAGGGGTGAGATGACCCACAGGGAGAGAGGCTGGGCTCTCTGTTCAGCAGAGAGCAGACAAAACTGCTCCGGCGGCTTCCAGGCACAGCGAGCATGATGCCCCCTCTGTTCCCCCCAGAGAAGTCTCTCCAGCTCAGAAAGCCAGTGGAAATGTGCCACTGCACCAAATGGGATGGTGTGGGAGTGACTCACTGGGGGAGTAGCCTCCTCCTGGCAGCTCTGTGAGGGATGCTGCCAGGAAAGAACTTCAGGGACACCCTATGCGACAGGAGGACAGGGAGCCCTTCCATCCCTGGGGGTGGGCGCAACCTGGCAGAGCTGGGAGGCCTTGGCCGCTGGCTCCCTGGCTGAAGCCTCAGCGGCCCGGCCCGAAAGGAGCATCCATCCAGGGCCCCACGTTCTTGCTCAGTGCGCCAGGCGGAAGCTGCAAGGCCCCTGGGGAGCCCTGCACAGGCACTTGGGAATGAGCAAGGCTGGCATCAGCCAGAGAACCACGTCTACACAGCGGGCTCCTGGGCCTCCTCAAAATCGAGGCTGCAGAGAATCTTTACTGTGGAAGAGAAAAAACTGAGGAGAAACTGCTCTGTCAGGGGAGCAGTGAGGTGGCAGCCTGCGGAAGTGTTGCTGCAGGTGGCCTGTGGCGTGTGGCATCTGAGAAAGGCTGGGCTGTGTTTTCACCTAAAGTGTATTTGCCATAAACATTTTCACCACATAACTAACTAATTGGCTGTAAGGCAATTTGTCATTAAAAAAATAAGTTAAAATCACAAGAAATAAAAGAACATAAAATTTAAAAGGCTTTCTTTGAATATATTTAAAGTGTGGGGAGCTTCACGGCAACACTCTGTAGATAACCTATTTTAGTTTGTGCATCGTAGCTAAGCACTTGTCTTCATTCTGTGGGAAGTGTGGGTTCCCCTCTCCGCTCTCACAGAGGGCCCTGTCTCTCCTCCCGGTTAGAGTGCTTCAAACTAAGAAACCGATCTTGGGGGCAAATCTTTATCCTCTGGAAGAAATGCTATTTGAAGGCCACCACCATGTTTACTCTCAGTGTATGGACTGAATTAAGAGGGCTCACTAAGATTTACAGATTACACAGATTACAGATAACACAGCTGCAAGAACTTGTCAATAGAGAAAAATGAAACCACACTGACAACTAGTTTAAATGCATTAAGTCTGTGGAAGGCAATTGATTGATTCATCAATGGAGAAATAAAACCAACCAACCAAACAAAAAAAATCAAAATCAAACTGTCAACCAGTTATTTTCTTTTTTATGGCAGTAGATTCATCAGTAAAGAAGTGAAACCAAACGAGAGGGGAAAAACCAACTGTCAATTGTCAATCAGTTATTTATCTTTTTTTTTTTTTTAATGGTAAAATTGCCTTTAGACAACAAGTTATACTGGGAAAATGTGTGCAGCAAAAATGCAACAAAGCTGTCTGTGGCAAAGGAGCAAAGACTCTGCTACGGAAGCGCCTAGAATGGAGAAGGGCCAGGCGCCGCCCCCCCCCCCCCCCCCCCACCGGGGCCCAGGTACCGGCTCCTGCCCCAGGGCGGGGGCAGGGCTTCTCTCCACCACAGCAAGGCAAGACCAGTGTTTGCAGTCTCTCAGCGGCCAAAGGTGGGACAGGATCCCATTGCTCCAAGGTGGCTGCCCTAACTGAAGCCACCAGAAGGTTAGCATGTTTGTCCCTTTAAGGTGCATGTCCAACGGGCACTGCTTGGATTCCTTTGTGAGCAATTCTTGTGCTTTCTAGACTTGGGAATCTGAACAGACAGGGGTGGCAGGAGGGGTGTCCTCATTCCAGACCAAGGACCGCAGGGGGAGGTTGGTTGGCTCTGAGGGAATGGAGGCAGAGGGCTTCTGGTGATCGCTGGCCTGGAGATCCTGCCAGAGTATCTGCCATACAGCCCTATGGGTGTTTGTGTAGGAAACCCAATGGGAATGGAACAAAGAATGGGACATGCTCCATAGCAGCCTTACCTCAAAGGAAATGTATTAGAAGAGACAGCAAGCAGTGAGGGGATAGTGTAGAATTTGTCCTCCAACTGGAATTTGATAAGTGAATTTTTTCAAGACTTGCGAAGCTATCCACACTTTACCTATTAAATGAGTGGCCAGGGTTTCAATATTACATATCATTCATTCGTTTAACAGCTTTTACTAAGTAAGAAGTGCCAGGCCCTCTTCTGAGCACTTGGGATAACTGGCGAGCAGGGCAGACTAGAACCCGTGCCCTCATGGAACTTACATTCCAACATCGGGACAGGGGCAGGGGGGCACACAGTAAACAACAGAAAGTCACAATATGTGGTAGGTCAGATGACGGTGAGAGCTGTGGAGACAATGAAAACCAAGAATGGGGATGGGAAGCTGGGGAGTGGCTTAAAATACCGTGACAGGGAGCACTTCCCTCGGAGCGGGATATTCTAGAGGAGATTGGGACGATGAGGAGAAAGCAGCAAATGGGACTGAGGACGGGCAGCCAGGAGGAAGGGTGTCCCAGAGCCCAGGGAACAAAGCGTTTCAACGGAAGGGAAAGGTCCCTCACGTCAAGTTGCGCTGCAATGACGGCTGAGAATGGACCACTGGGAGCCGCGCTTACTGCGACCTTGGCAGGACCACTCACCTTGGCAGGACCACTCGCAGGAGTCTGAGGATTCTAGGGAGAGTGGCGGGGGAGGGGCGAGGAGAGAGAGGACGGATTTGAATGATTCCTTTGAAGAAGTGCAGTGGTAGCTGGGAGAGGATTTGGGATCCAGAGTTTTTTGTTTGCTTTTGGTTTGAGTTTTTGGTAGGATTGGAGAAATTGCAGCATCTTTGTTTGCTGACAGGAATGACTGAGCAGGGAGGGAAAGAAAGCTGATCAGGGAGAGAGGGTAGAATTTTTGCTAGAAGCACGGCCAGGTGCAGGAGGTGGGTGGCTGCAATGAGTCAGGCTGGGGGTGGGGTAGAGGGGCTTTTCCGGTCCCTCCCACTGGCCCAGTGCAAGCTGTGGGGCGGTGGGGGGCGGGGGGCGGTGCGGTGAGGGGCAGAGAAGCGTGACTTGGTCGCTAGAGACTGCAGAGCAGCACCAAGGAGTGGAGGCCGGTGCTTCAGCGGTCAGTGCTGGTCCCTAGTGAGCGGCGCCGCTGCACCTCCCCAGTGTCACTGACACCACTTTGGTTTTATGGCAAACTTTTGCTCTTTGGGCTAGTCCCTGACTCTCAGACAACATTAGATTTCTATCTAACCCTTCGTGGTCAATTCTTGAGACAACAAAATTCAATCTCAAATTTTCATTTCCTCTTTATGAAGGGAGTTTCCCTTTTCCTGCCACTGACTTCTCTCTTTGGTGTAGCCTAGTTTAAGGAAGGCAGAGAGTGTCCACGCATCTGTTTCGGGCCTGGAGCTGTCTGGGGTCCCTGGTTAGAACGGAAGGTAGGTTGGGAGATAAGTGCTTTGAAGTAGCTGCTCTTGAAGTAGAGTGGCCAACAGCTCTCCTGCTGGAATTCTTGGGAACCCTGTGATTGCAATTATAGATGACTTTAGTTTATAAATTTGAAATAGGCGATATGAACACGTGGTATAAAATTCAGAAGAGAATGCAGTGAAATGAAAATCTCTCCCGCCCCTGGCCTTCAGCTGTGTGTTTCCCTCTCCAGAGGCAACCATGTTTGACGGCATCTTGCGTGTGCACGGATGCTTTTAGTGACTACTGAAGAGGTAAGGGGAGCGTGTGGGGGCAGGCGCACCTCAGCAGGCCGGAGACACTTACTCAGGAAACTGGATGTCAATAAAATTCTTAGGCACGTATCCTTCTTGGCTCCCAAGTTCTGCCTTGAACCACTCCTCCTGGTTACTTAAGATCTACATGGAAGAGAATAAAGGACAAAGACACTGTAGGGAGGACCCCAAGAAGTAAAAGAAAGAGGCTGAAGGGTGAATAATGCCCCTTTGGGGTTTAGAGAAAATAAACCAAAGAATCCACACAGCTGCCCTCATGGTGGGGTGGGGCACCAGGGTTGTCTTTGGAGTTTACCCCAAGCTATTTCTGTCCACAAGTGCCACCTACCCCTGTGACCCCACCATGGCGTGGCTTCCAAGACTCAGCACTCAGGGGCTTCGCGCAATCCCTTTCTCTTTCTATTTTGGAAGTTCATGTATCCCAGATCTCAGCACCTAAGCTCATCATCTGGGTTGATGGTGAGAAGGCAAGAGTGGCTACTCCATATTTTTTCTTCTCTGCCAGGTAACCAGGAACCTTTTAAAATTGTAATTTGTTCTATTTTTTTGAAACAAGTAGGTCGAAACTTAAATATCCACGTGGGGCCAGCTTTGAAAACAGTAACTCTGTGTGTTCACACTCCATGTGCTTCACAAACTATTTTGACATGAGATATCTGGAATGCTTTTCCTAAACTTGCTTTTAGATCTAGGTCACAGACAAAACCACACGTTCTGTCTTATTACTATATGGTCCTACCTTGACCATGACCCCAAATGTTATCACCTACTTTGATTACTCGTGTGACTAATCAGACTTGGCTTTATGTGGCTTCTGGTTATTTCAGGAAATATATCACCATTAAAAAACAAATACTTGCCCACACCCCACTCTGACAGTGTTTCCAAAATATGTGGCATAGACTTGAACAATAATTCAAAATGAGGATGGCAGAGCAGAAAGGTGGAAAGAACCTTGATGATATCATTGAGCCATGGAATTAACCCCTGAGGATTCTGCCTACTTCTGAACTTTGGCTGAAAAATAATAAATCTTTGTTATCGTTTAAGCCATATTTAGTTTCGATTTCTTGTAGCTGAAAATGTCCAATTGACAGAAGTGCTACGATGAAGGGGGAAGCAGAGGATGGACAGGAAAGACGACCTGGGAGAGAGGACATCTGGGTTGCCCAGGCAATGACAGGAGTTACCCGGGAGAAGCCTGGTGCCAAAAGAACTACTTCTGGGATATAAGGAAGTGCACTGCATTCTGGGAGTGAAATGCCTCAGTCTGGTGTGTGTTAAGATCGTGGCCCAGATGTAGAGAGAGAGGGAATCAGGAATGCCAGCCTTGTGGACCATGTTGAAAGTTTGGATTTTTATCTTGAAGTCTCTGGGGGGCTATTAAAGCAGGAAAATAACACAGTAAGAATCAGAGTTAAGAAAGAGTGTTGCATCAGAGTGTGGAGATAGATAGGAGGGTAAAGTCGGGGGAGGCACACTTAGGGGGGCTACAGGAAGAGTAGCTGTAGGAAGACGGCTGCAGGCATCCAGGCGAGAGACGAAGGGGATCTGGGCTAAGGGGAGGTAAGGACATGTTGTAGAGGAATCAGGAAGCAAAATGGGCAGAATTTCATGACTATTCATGGAACCACGGGAGGCTGGGGATTCTGGGATGGCTCCGGAGTTTTGGCTTGGGAGATGGAGTGGGTGGTGAAGCCTTTTCTAAAATAGAAAATAGAGGAGGAGGAGCTGGTCTAAGGAAAAGCTTATGGACCTCAGATCGTGTGTGGGTGGGTCCAAGCTGCCCCTGAGACCATCCTAGAAGAAAAGCTCGGTGAGCAGTGGGAGAGGTGAGCCTGCACTCAGAAGCGAGGCTGGGATTTTAGGGTCATTGGGAAGTGGGTGAAGTTGAAGCCATGGGTCCCCTGGGTTTCTCTCTCCCAGACATGAAAAGAGAATGAAAGAGAGCTAAGTAATCAAGAAGCAATGGTGACCTGTTTCTAATATCCCTCCCAAGGCGAAAGGAAGGGAGGGCAGCACGTTGAGTTTAGAGTAAGACCTGGTGTCTAGTTTTGCCCTGTCACTAGCTGTATGACCTTTGGCAAGTCATTGACCACCAGGAGAACGGGGGGGGGGGGGGCGGGGGGGAGATGGGCCAATGCCCCACAGTATTGATGTGAGGATTAAATGAGCCCTGTGCCTGGGAGTCCTTTAGAAAGTGTATGCTGTTTTTCAAAAATATAATTCTATAAAATGTGATATCTGACGAGGGAGGACTCCAGCTCTGGAGGGTTTATGAGTTCTTTACAGTGCTCTATATGTATGTTTTGAATTTAATCATTTGTTCTGAAGAAATAAAAATGTGTCCCGTATTTGAATTCTAGAATTGCTGAGAGAAGAAAACTTTACAGTTTCTAACATCAAATGTGACTGTTGCTATCACCAAGGACGTGTGGGTATGTGTGTGCTGAGGGCGGTGGAGGGGGGAGCAGAAAATCTAGGTCAGAAGAACTAGGAAACCCGGCGCTGGCACCTGGTATACACACACGGGGCGCGAGGGCATTTCATTCCATGCTGCCTTCCTGGATTGATGGCTTCGGAATTCCTTCCTGCTGCCACATGGGAATTCGGAGTTTGGCCGGGGTGACAAACGTCAAAGAGGGGAGTGAGCAGGGATGAGGTAAAAGAGGCCATTTGGCAATTGGCTTTTCACAGTAAGAACCACACTTTGTACTTAGTTCTCTGACCTGAAACCAGCTGTAATTTTAGTAATCGTGGCTCACACCCATCGACCTCCTCCAGAAACTGAAAGATTATCTATGGCACGATGCTGGCCATTTCTCCCTACCACCTGGGGTTCAGTCTGTCCGAGACTGTGTTCCCAGGGAGGTGAATTTACAGGCTATTTTGGATGTCTAGAAGACACGGTTTTAAAAAATCCATTTTCTGCAACGAAGAGTATTTGCGGGGGGAGGTGGTTTCCTCCTGCCGTTGTTGGCACAGGGCCCTAGGCTTCCTGTTCTCATCTCTCCATCTATTCAGTTCCCCTATCTCTTGTCCCCATCACGTAAACCTGAGCTAGGAGTTCAGCCTAAACACCTGAGGTTTGACACTTTACTGTATCTCAATTCTTATAACACTGCTTACTAGAATACATTTCTGGGTCCCATGGTCTGAGACTAATTTAGGTGTGGGAAGACAAAAAACTGTACGGTTGAAAGAATTTTAAAATTGGATGGAATTACAGCTCTCAGAGGTATAGCAGAAAAGTGAAGTGCTGAAGAAGTTATTGATGTAGGATTAACTCTTAGTGCTTTTAGGTCACTGTTTTAGTAGGAAGAAGTGAGCTTGACTAAGATGCATTACAGAAGCAGACAGAAATCAACTGGGTCAGGAGTCATGTTTTAAGATGACTGACATATCCTACTGACGCTGTGTGTAGCTGCAGGCCTGGGGGTTTTTGACATGGACACAAGACACCACACTTCTGACCTGTCAGATGTTTCTGTCTTAGAAGTGAGATCAAGTCACTGGGCAGGAGTTTCCCCTCCCCAACCTTGTTCACCCTTCTGTGATCAGCATCTAGTGAGCACCTGCTGTTTGCATGTAGGTGCTGGGAATGCAGAGGTGAATAAGCTGGGGCCTTCGCCCTGGGGGGTGGGTTGGTGGTGAGCTGGGAGCCATTTTGTACCTTCTAATGAAAAAGCCTGCTTAGTCTTTTAGTACTAGAGGCCAAACACCAAAGAGCATCCCAGGAGTGAGTTGCTGGGTCAGTTACAAGATGGCTTTGAAAACATTTGTGAGGCTCCTGGGGCTTGTTACACAGCTCTGAGGGAAAGGGACAGATGCTGCAGCCATACGTAGAGAGACCCACAGGCAGGGCCACTGACTGCCAGGAGGCAGACATTCTGTGAGGCTTGGCCAGTGGGCCCCTCTCTGCTTTTCTCTTTACTCCAACAACTGTGATGGACAGAATTTGAAAAGGAGGAGGAGTTTGGCCTTCCCATGGAATTCCAAATCAGCATGCAGAAATGCAACTTAACAAGTCAAAAAATGTGCCCAGAGCACTTGCTTGGGGCTGCGCTTTGTGTTAGATGCTGGGAAGATGCAAAGACAGCCTGGCACAGCTTTGCTCTCGGCATGTTCACAGACCAGCGGAGGAATCAGCCACTCATTTGCTCACCGTTCACTGCGTATTAGCAAGGGTCACTTTTTTGCTGTTGCAGCCACTGAGGCAGGCCCGGTCCCTGCCCTCACAGAGCTCTGCCCAGTGGCCCACACATAAACGACAATCAGGACAACATGGGGCAAGGGCAGCGATGCGAGGTGGATATAGAGGGTGCATGAGAGCACGGAGGCCTGGCCCGCCCACAGAAAATTGCCGTGGGAGGCGGGCTCTGGTGTTTGTTGGATTAAGTGTGTGTGAGATGCTGTGGAACTGCTGAAGAGGGAGGGATTAATGTCCCCAGGGCAGTGGGGGAGGGGAGTTAGTGAGGGTTCCCAGGCAGTGGTGGTCAAATATGTGTGTGTGGGAGAAGGGCATTTGGAGGAGGGGGCAAGGGATAGTGTACACCTTGCAGCGTGCCCTGGGGGCATTAGTGCACAAAGATGTGTGTGTGTGTGTGTGTGTGTGTGTGTGTGTGTGTTCATGCATGTGAGCATGATGAAGCTGGGGCAAGATGGCTTAGACTTCAACCAAGTGGTAATGGGGAACCACCGGAGGCTTCTGAATGAGGAAGTGGCATGATCTGACTTGTCTTCTCGAAAGATCCCTCCGGGAGTCGTATATAGCATGATTGAAAGAGGAAGATACAGGAGGTGGTGAGGTCATCAAGGGGCTGTGGCAATAGTCTGAACAATCAGAGGCAGCAGGAAGGAGTAAAACTGATAATATATGGCGGCCATTTACGGAGCATTCACTTTGGGATGGGGCCATTACTTCTAAGCCATTCCATGACCCTGCAAGATAGATAGATCCTTCACTTACAGATGAAGACACAGAAGCTCAGAGGGGGCAAGTGACTGGCCCTGGGCCACACAGTTAGTCTGCTGGGATTCGATCCCGAATTTACCAGGCCCCAAAGTTCCTCCCTCCTTTTCATGCATTAGGTCCCTCTCCAGCAAAGCAGGGGGTTGCTCGAGAGAGATCAGGAAAGAAAAGTCTTCAGAGCAGGGGACAGTGTTTGTGAGTCAGCCAGGACGCTATTCCAATCCAGAAGAGGGACAGTGAGCGGCGTCACATTTTACAGGCATTTTGGTAGAGTTGTTACATTCCACACTAAGGATATCACTGGCGGGTCTGAAGGGGGCATGGGGGTAAAGTCGGATGCCCCAGGGGGCCTGTGGAAAGAACGGGAAAGGGAGCAGGGGAGGCACCCAACAGAGGGGACTGGTCCCAGTACTGGTGGCAAAGAGAGGAAAAGAATTGGAAGCTGGATTGAGAGGCAGAGTTGAGAAGTTGTTTTTTTTTTCTTCCTTTTAATATTTCTAGGGAACAGGGAAAATGTGAGCGAAATATTAGGTTCTGTTCACAAAAGGAGATGAGGGGTGGGAGTGGGCCCCTTCCCCACTCTAGAGACACATGTTCACAATACCCCATGGATAAGGGAGAGGCTGGTCACCATATGGCAGATCCCTCTGTGATCTTGGTAAGAACCCAAAGAAATGAAGGTCACCTTTTCCTGGGTCAGCAATCCAAGGACATTCTGACCTTGAGAAGCTCCAACATTGAAGGTACATGTTTTGCAACCACATTACTAGATCTTGCAAGGTGAGAACAGTTAGAAGGATAAATACTGGGGGTGTTTAAGTTACAAACCAAGTTGTCACCTCGTTTGTGTTCCACAGATACTTTCTGAGTCACCCTCTCACATACTGGCAATGTTCTTCCTATAAAAGGCATAATTTTTAGCGGTGGGACAGTGGCGGCCTCAGCGCTGCTGGGCCGGCCCGCGCGTGCTGCCGAGGGCCATGGGCCGGGATGCCCGAGGGCGCTCTGGTGGGGGGCGCTGCATCACAGGCTCCTTGTGCCCTCTTGAGGGGCTTGTGCTCTTTTGCACAAATCAGGGGCTGAGATGCAGTCTGTAAGTGTGGGGCATGGTATTTGGGAGGAGTCCAAGATCTTGTCAGCTTAGCAAGTGGCCATAATGACTCAGGTGCAGGCTGGGAGCACATGGCCTTTGTTGAGCCGTGTCCCCTCCAGCTGCCTTTCCCAGGTGACAGTCTCCACCCGCACCCTCCCCTTGCAAGCCCAACCATGCTGAATCTCACAACGCTCACAGAATTCCACACGGGCTTGCTCATTTCTGAGCTTTAGCTAAAAACCCGACTCACCTTCATTACATCCCGCACAAGTGATGTTGCCACACGTGCCTGCGAACCCATCTTTCAAGATGGGATCGCTTGTTTCCTCACCTGTGCTTCCCGAGCTCCTAGATAAGAACACCTACAACAGCCCTTTGGATGGATTTGGTTCCCCCTCCAGAGAACGCGAGTGTCTCAGGACAAGGGTGGCGGCTTATGCCAACCGGATTTCCATCACCTGGCCTGATAGCTGGCACACAGGTGCCCGAAGGAACCCTTTTGGTTGAGGTGAACTTCTTTGTTGAAAGGAACTGTGTGTAGTTCTTCAGAAACAAAGGCATGGATTGTTAGATTAACTCAGTGACCAGACAGAGTAACCTAAACCCCCGCGGAGCCCCTGAGCCCCAGGTCACCTACCTTCAGGATATCTCCAGTGTGAAAGCTCAGTTCATCCTCGCCCGAGGCGGTGAAGTCAAACTTGGCGATGGCTTCCATGTTGTAACACGAAGCTGGAAGAAAAATAATGCGGTCATTGTGCCTTTCTGGCTGGAGAAGTGTAGCGAGCAGACGGTGCTGCGGAGCAGTCTTAGCGGCTGGGAGGCGAGGGGTCGAATGTCTCCAGGCCGGGGAGAGAGACGCAGGCGCACAGTGAGAACTTTTGTTTTTGAGAAGAGCTGCTGGAGCCCTTAGGGCTTGCATCCTGGCATCTTTCTCTGAATCCCGAGATGCCAGAAGCAGGAAATGAAAAGCAGACTGACTCTCCTTTCATTGCCCTTTGCCTGTCCTGCCACCATTTCTGAGGCATCTCCATTCTCGGTTGCTAAGGAAAAGACTTGCTATCATCTCCAGCTTGAGGCCTGAGGGGCTGGAAAGGCTGTTCTGTAACACGGTCCCAAGGCTGCCCCTTGGCAGCTATATTTAACCAGCCAGTGTTAATTAGACAGATGCCATTGTCTCTTTTATGTCTGAGTTATTTAAGAGAATTGGACAGCGCTGGCCAGTGGGGAACTTCAGGCCCTTCTGCCTGGTTTGAGAGTGGAGAGCACTCTGGTTTTAGAGTTGGGAGGCTCAATACGTCAGCTTCTTTATTTATTTTATTAAAGCTGAGTAGCAGTTTTGTTTTACAATAATTTGATGGAATTAATTTATCTTCAGCAAGGGTAGCCTGGCTAACAGCAGCACACGTTTTCTTCTAATTCCTCTCATCTCCTAGAAACTTTTCTCATTGAAATTTGATGTTTGCTCTCCATGACCCTCAAATCATCCGGTCCTCTGCTAAGAGGCTTACTATCAGGACACAGTCTTGAAAGCTGTTGTTTGGCATTTATGTTTTGCAAAATTTGCCTAAGTCCAAAACCCTTTAGATTAGTAACTCCCAAACCTAATTGACTTTCAGTGACCAGACCAGTAAACTGGGACTACAATTGTCCTCTCAGTGGGGATTTCTGCTCAAGTGAGAAGATTTGGGTGAATAAGGAAGGTGGCCACTGGCGGTTGGGTGCAGTGGCAGAAATTGGGGATAAAAGCCGACTGCAACCGTGGTGATAGCAACGGGCTCACTTCTTCGATTTTCCACATTTGCTTGGTCCAAAGGCAATTGTAGAGGTGAATATTACCAATCCCAAAAATAGATATTAAGTAAAAAATATTTCAGGAGCCAAAGTGAACTGTCATCACTAACTGCGCTTACTCACCAGCCGAAGCTACCCTCCCCGCAAAGTATACTTTTTGTACACTTTCTTCAAGACCTGTCCATCTAAGGCAAATTAAAATTTTTGTGACCTACGATGACCCACTCAACAGGAAGGCATACTCTGCTCTCCTTAGTGAATGCTAAATGTCTTTGCTGATTTGATTCGCCCCATTACTTTAACATGCAAAACGTCCCCTAATTAAGGCCTTGCCTCTAGTTGGCACCACATTAAGATGTGGTATCTGTGGGTCATCCTCATGGTGTCAACAGTAGACACTGGTCGCCTCAGGAGATCAAGTGTCAGGTGAATGGTCCTGAAAACCAACATCCCATTTCTATGCAAATTTAGCTTAATAAGCAGGAGGGAGACAAGGGGAGTACCAATGCTAAATATATTAGAAAGTCACATAAATTAGAGATGAAAAGAATATTCAAGGCATGCTCTAGATATGACCTTGAGCTTGGGAAGCTATTTCCTACATTACATGTAATTCAGATCAGGCCTTGGTTCAGCCTGGCTATAAGTCACTTCAGTGAGAGGGCTGAGGCAGAAGGAGCATTGCTTCTGAATGGTGACACTTTTCTCTGCCTTTCCCCCAGGAGGCAGGTGGTACAGCAAAGCCAATGACACAGGCACACCACAGAGCTCCCCAGCTTCTAATATTAATCCTGGCTCAAAAAACCCAATTAAAGAGGCCTACTCTTTATGAAATCACTTTGAAAATATTTGTTTGCATCCCATTTCCATCTGTGAAATGAAATCTATTTAGATGCTGTTTGGTAGGGGGAAGATGCTCAGGGTGAAGTGGGGTATGCTTCGTTTTTGTTCAAGTCACAGGGCTTTACAAATTCTTCCCTTGAATTTACCATCCTCTGCTTCCCAAATAGCAGAGGATGGTAAATGTGCTACCCCTAGGGGTCAGTCTCCTATTTGATCATAGAATTGCATAAAAATTTATATCCCATTCCTCTATAGCCATTAGTTTTGTTTTGTTTTGTTTTTTAATCCTCACTCAAGGATATGTTTATCGATTTTAGAGAGAGGGAGAAGGAGGAAGAGAGGGAGGGAGGGAGACAGACAGACATCGATGTGAGAGAGAAACATCCGTCTGTTGTCTCCATAAGTGTCCCTACTGGGGATTGTACCTGCAACCCAGGGATGTGCCCTGACCAGGGATCAAACCCACAGCCTTTTGGTGTTCGGGATTACATTCCAACCAACTGAACCACCTGGCCAGGGCCATTAGTTTTAATTTTGAAAAGTTTAAAATTGCCACCAGGGAAAAAGAAAACCGAACTAATGTAGTTTATTCAGTATTTATTGCATACTGCATCTGGGAAACAAAAAATATATATATGATGGAGATAAAACATAGTAGCAACAATTTCAAGATAGAAGGGGGCCACGAGAGAGAGCGAGGGCAAGCAGCTGTCTCTATAATTCAAGAATGCAACGGGTAACAGCGCTTCTGACCCCGTGGGGACATGGAGACAGGGCCGCCTCTTCAGAGAACCTCCCAGATGGACTGAATGTGCCTTTTCTGCCAGGGATCAGGTTTAGACATGGCTGAAATGCTACCTGCCACAGAGTGTGAGTGAGAAGTGACAGGATCCAAGGGCAGCAAATCCACCCCCAGCAGCCACCCCATGACAAAGCCATTTGTCAAGAAATCCCACCTCAGAACCAGGCAAGGGTCCCTGCCCCTGCTGCTCCCTCTGCTTCTCACCAGCCCTCTGCCAGGGGCGCACGTCCCCCTCATGAATTGCTCATCATACCCGTTAGCAGCCCTGCGACACGGATCTGCCTCACCGCAAGGCAACACCCCGCAGGCCCTCCCAAGGCACAATTTTCTCTACCCTTGCGTTTCCAGTTACACTTCTTTAACCAGTAAGAAAATCTGAAAAATACTCAGACTATATACCAGGAATGCTTATCTACTTCTAAAAGACAGTCACCACAGAGGACGAAAACAAAAGCCATGAGACAGTTCTTTAAGATATCCTTAATTGATGTCATTTACCTAGTTATGAATACCTGTCACACATAATGTCAACACATACAGAAACTTTTGTGAAAATGTAGTTGATGGAGCATCTCGTTGCCTGTATTTTTGAACACTGCTCTAATAACAGAATCATATAAGATGAAATAAGTTAGATTTTGCAGGAAGAGCTCTTACAATAGAACTCACAGCGTTTTCCCTCCCTCCTTTAGCAATTTAGTATCTGGAGCCATTAATAGCTTGTTTCTTTAAAAAGAAATCCAGAAGGTATATAGAAACCTTTTCAGATTTTTCATCTGGTTTGTTCATGCAGACGTAGTTCTAGCAAAATACCTTATTTTTCCTTAAGGTATTTTTTACAAAGGCAGATGCTTCTGTATTTGGAAATTTCTACTTCAGTTCCTGAAAAACTGCAAAACCAATCTGTATCATGTACTAAACTGATTTAAAATACAACTACATGTTTATAGGGAAAAAGTATCCTTAATTGAAAGCCAGATTAAGGGAATGTGTTCAGTAACATGCAGTTACCATTAAAATGGTACCAGGCAAGAAACTTCTTGAAAGATTTCAGCTCCTCCTAAGTGGGCTATGAATAGTTTTCCTTTTTATGCGTCTCTTAAAAAGAGCACTTGCATAACACCAGGAAGCCGTGTGGAGATTCAGGCTCAAGACCCATTGAAAGAGGGAGCCAGGTCCTAAACGGAATCAGTGACACCACTTCCTATTTTTCTGGGGAGTTCTAATTTGAAGATTGTATGACTTGCTCCAGTTTATGTTGTAATTCAGTTAAGATAATGCCTTGGAGAAAAAATAAAAAAGAGAGAGAAACACTGCTCTTTCTAAGTACAGTTGATTCTTCAACAACATGGGGGTTAGGGGTGCTGACCCCACACGTGGTCAAAAATTCCCATATAACTTTGACTCCCCGAAAGCTTAGTCGTCCCTCGGTATCCAGGGGGATTGCTTCCAGAACCCCCACAGATACCAAACTCCGAGGTTGCTCAAGTCTTCTACTTAAAGTGGTGCAGACCAATGCATACTGTATCGGGGCACTCCCAACCTCAGGTGGAAACATTATAGTTATTTATTGGGGGAAAAAAACACGTGTAAGTAAACAGGCACAGTTCAAACTCCTGTTGTTCAAGGACCAACTGCATTGCTGGTAGCATAATTACGAGGACATTAGCAACAAATGTAATTTTTATGAATTTATCTTGCACATGACATAAAGTGATAGAATAGTGAGGAGTTACCATTTTAGGATTTTGGCTGTAGCTCCGAAGAGGAATTTGGCTAAAACTGTGAAGTTATACCAACCATTGAACTTCCCCTGAGGCAGACACTTGGAACCCACCCACAGCCTTTCTACTGTCAGGTGAAGCCCCTCCTGGAGACAATGAGGAGGTAAAGCTTTTACTACCCTCTGGAACTGATGGCCCAGCTCAGTGACTTTTCAGAAGTAGGAAACCTTACCCTGCCAGGAAAATGATTAATGATTATAGCTAAGCCTCACTGTATACAACAGATAAGTTCTTGAAAAGTTATTATGAATAGAGTATTTGTAAATGGAATCATATTAGCATGCATATGGAAGCTCATTGCATAAAAGAACCCTGTGGTGAATTCTTTTACAAAATGAAAGGAAAATTTGTTATGCAAATCCCTACCTTTTAATTTATCTCTTTTAAAGTTTGGGTTTTCCTGCACTGAGTCTTAAAACAGAGCACACCTGTATAACCCTTGTAGCACCTCACACCCGGGGTTAAATAAGTAGGAGTTTTCCCTCTTTTTAACTCTCAAAATCCTTTTAAAAACCTCTCCTACTGATACATAACATTTCACCTTGGAGTATAGACTAGGAGTCACCAGGTCTTTTCTGTAAGGGCCAGAGAGTAAATATGTTCGGCTCTGTGGCCGTGTGGTCTCTGCCACAGCCTCCCGGCCCGGCTTGCTGCAGCCAGGAAGGCAGCCGCGGAGAAAAGTAAAGGAATGCATGAAGCTGGATTCCAATAAAGCTGTATTTATGAAAGCTGAAGTTAGAACTTCATTTTTACATACCACGAAATATTATTGCTCTTCTGATTTTCCCACAATCATTTACAAATGGAAAAACCATCTTAGCTCATGTGCAAAAATATGTGACGTTTTGAATTTGGTCTACTGGCCACAGTTTGCCACTCCGGCATAAACGTTTATATCTGTGTCCTGCCTCTCCTAATAGTTTGTAAACTTCTTAAGGAGAAGGGTTGTAGCTCAGAGGACAGATTATGGACTTCGGAGTAGATGGACCTGGATTTGAACCTCAGATGTGCCGTTTACTTCCCAAGCGCCCTGTTTCTGCATCCATAAGACAGGAGTAGCCACACTTACTTCATGGGTGTGTTGTGTGTTAATGTGTACAAAGACCTTGGCACACAATAGGCATCTAGTAAGTGCTAATAGTAGCTACTGTTTTTATTTATTCTTAGATTCCCTATAATATCTAACTAGTACTTAGTAGGCACTTAGTTTGCTGAGTGAATAAAAACATGATGAATGATCTGCCATTACAGTTACGATAGGCATTGATTTTTCTCAGGGAAGGGGCAGCAGATAGGATCATTTACAAGGATCAATTAATTTCCCACTCAGAGGTGCCCTGACTTCTCAGCAAACTCAGCCGAAGGTAATGAAATACACACTAACACTAAAGGTCTGATTTATTTAATCCAATAGAGGGCAATGGTGCACCCCAAACCGTCGATTCCACCTTGTAACTTTTCTTTTTATCTTGAAGCCCCACGACCTTTATCTAAACAGGTTTCCCAATTGTCCTCATTGTCTCTTGTGCCTTTGAAGGCATATAAACTTTAACATTTCAAAGAGTCTAAAACCCATAAAATACAGTGCTTAGATGGAAAAGATTTGAATCCATCTGCTCCTACACATTTCCTTATGCTTGAATTCCTTCTCAGTTTCCCCAAAAGGCGGTCCCTGTTCATCTCAAAGTGACTGGTCCCTCACTCCTGCTTTTGATTTTAGGTCCATGGTTTGTTTTGAAATGCCGTGTGTGTGTGTGTGTGTGTGTGTGTGTGTGTGTGTGTGTGTGTGTGTCTGAAGCTTATGGCCGGGGCTGGAGCCTTTCTGCCTTAGTTTATTTCAGTGTCCTGTTCCCCAGTCCCCAGTAAAAGGTGATAAACTGAGGCAGAAAGGCTCCAGTTACACCTCTGGGGTTCAGATGAAAGAAAAACGTACAGCAGGGGTTTCAACACAAATCATTAACCTTGAAAATGCGTAAGCATAGGATGAACAACTACCTATAATTCACTTGTCAGCCGCTGCTTAAATAGTCTTCTGGAAACCCAAAGCAATCCAATCTGGGAAAGAAAGCAAAAGAAATAAAAGCAAAAAGCTGAACATGGCCAAGAGATTGAAGGCTGGCTTTTCCTCATTTTGGGTTCTCATATGACAATACTTTTGCTCTACTCTAAACCAGCAGAATCACTGCTTACAGGAGGCCTTTTATTCAGCTGGCCATGTTAGAAATGTTAAACCTTCTCCCTGGATGTCTAACAAGGCTTGCACATTTTTTCAAAAACTGTTCTTGGTCTAGAATTACTTCTAATTTATCCTCTGAAATAGAGACCCCCAAATGCTATAAGATCCTTCTTCCGGGTTCTCTGGAGACTCAGCTCTGTGGCCGTGCGCAGAGGGTGAGGTGGGAATTGAATCACGGCAGCTACAACCCAGTTTGCAGGTAGCCACGTACCGGGGAGTGGCCTTCAGGGCCGCTGCTTTAAAAGATTTCCAGCCAACTGTTCTGTGCATATCTGGACCTCCCAGGTCAGATGCAAGACTACTTCTTTTTAGGCTCAGGATTCCAGGGGAATAAATGGCTTTCTCAGGAGGACATGGTCTGTTTCCACAGGTGCTCTCCATGGGATATAAACATTCCTGATTTTATTGCAACCAGAGTAAGTCAAGACAAGAGAAATATACCCCACCAAACTATTTCTGGTTGGTTGGCTGAGATTTTAGTGCCCTCTAAGAGCCTCCATTTTATATGCTTTTATGCACATAGGACATTTTTATTTTCCTCTTGTCCCCAAGTGACTTATTATTTCCTCCTCCAAAGCCCCAGGAAACCATAAATGCCCTGGCATGACAGGCAGGGGTGAACACACGGAGCCAGAGGGGCCCCAGAGCTTGTCTGAGAACCGCAACCCCTTGCGCGGACCTGCTGATGCCAGTCGTGGAGACCACAAGGGCCTGTCTTCTGTGAGAAGCCTCCCCACCTGCACAGCCATTCTCTGGCTACTCCACTTGGGCGGGAAGCAGCAACAGCGCTGTCTCTGGCGGCAGGTAACTAGCGGGCAGTGTGCTTTGCAGGTGAGTCAGGAAGCTTGGGCAGGGGAGGTGTGCGGTCCTCCCCCTGGCATCAGGCTTTGTACGCCCGGACCCCCTCTCCCCTCCAGACCCGCTGTCAGCCTCTTAGGGTTCCAGTCCCACCTTTCGGCCCTGCCCTGAGATTTCGACCTATTTTCCTGATAAGAACCATCCCTCCAGCTAGAAGTCACTTGGTTTCTAGGTTTGGAAGCCAAATAAATATATTTCAAAGAGTTACAGACAAACTTTACACAGCTGAAGAATCCCTCTAAATCCCATATATCCTTATTTAATCAAATTGCTGTTCTGCAGGTCCCTGCCTTTCACTGTGGATTAGGGAGATTCCATTGGTCTCAAGGATGCTTTCCTCTTTTTAAATTAGCTCCTCTTTTCCCGCCTAAGGGTTTGTTTGTTTTCAGGGTGGGGGGGGGCAGTAGGGAGCAGGACAGTGAGCAGAGGGAACAGATGAAGAAAGAAAACAAATCAAGAGCTTGTTCCTGTGCAGGCCAACACTCCCCCTGCCCCCCGCCCAATGCTACCATCCTTGTAAATTGAGTGATGCCCAGACGAAGGGTGATTTACTCTTCCTTTTTGTGGTTTATTTAAAAAAAAAAATTCTTTTGTTAAAGCATAGTTGACATACAATATTATTGTCCTTGTTCTGATTTTTTTTTTATTACCTCACTCTTCTTTAATCAATACCAGCCTGGCTTATAAAACATAACTTTTTCTAAGTTCAAAGCATGTCACATAAACGCTTACTTGTCCTCCAACTTTTTGTAAGGAAAAAAATCTTTTTCTTTAAGTGTAATGTATGTTTTCTATCAAACTCAAGCAAACGCCGTCCTTTCCTTCCTACCTTGCCACTCTCTGCAAGGTGAGGTTGCCAGCCGCGGTGGAGGTTCATAGGACCAAGATGTCAGAGAGGCCTGTTTCAGATCTTAAGTCTTTCTTGGTAGCTTTTCAAGCCCCCGATTTTTCTCGCTCACCCTGCACTAGTGCTAGCTTCTCTCTGCTCACCACCGAGCCCCGGCTGCAAAGTCATCGGAAGGTACAACGCCCTTGTGATCAAGGCAATCCAATAAGAAAGAGAAAATGCCCATAAGCAAAGGGAAGTGGAGAAATGGAAGGCTGAGAAACAGAACACTGATCTGGCTTCTAAACTGGCTGGCAGCCCAGAGTTCGGTCACCGCACAGCTGTCTTTGAACAGCATGCCCTTGGGCAGCCCCTCGGGTAGCCCCGTTGGCACAGCAGGCAACTAAGCCTCCACTACCTCTAGGAGCAACCAGCTATGACTAAGCTCCATTTATTGACATAGCCCATCACTATTATTATTATTATTATACTATTACATTTAAAATGTAATATAAAATAGTACACTTTATAGCTAAGAAACCGAGAGGAGAGAGGAGCACCTCTGCCTGCTGGCTCCTAAGGCTGTATGCCCTGATTCCACACATGGCTTCCCAGTCCTAGCAAAAGGGTGTGAGTCCTGCACTAGTTTGGGATAATTGCTCACTGGCTTAGGGTCCCCTGGACCTTCCCGGGCACTGTTCTTCAGCCAAGCAATTGATGGCAACTATTCTCACATACCCACGAAATTCAAGCCCTTACTCCTCAGTCAAAGAGGCAAAGGCTGCAATAAACTTGGCTGACCTCAGACCAGGCAATCATGTGCTTTAAGGCAATTGCAGAAATGGAAACAATCTCAGTTAATAAATTTACAAGCTACTGTTCTCGTCTTTTCCTTTCCTTTCTGTTCACTATTCTCTCTCTTTCTGTTTTCTAAACTTTCCCACTATCAACTGACCCCAAAATATATTCTCTTTTCAAGTTCTTTTTCTCCTCAGAACATTATTTATTATGAATCTAATTAGAAAAAAAGTATATTTAAAATGCTTTTGTTTTTCAATCTCTTCTACTTTGCTTGTTTAAAGGACACCATAAGAAAACATCAATCCACCACAAGAAAAATGAAACAGAAAGACCCACCAGCCCCGCTGGAGATGCCTCCTGCAGCTCCTCTCTGCCGCGGAACTGACGGATCACTTGCCATTCCCTCGTTTTATCCTCATTGTTTCCTAAAGTGATGACAACTGTCTACAGAGACACCATGAATCCTGCTGTCAAAACCCCTATATGAGTGAAGCATTAATCATACCCACCCAGAATCAGAAATTATCTAATGAGCCCTATAAGAAGGGCGGGAGGCGTGGTGGAGGACGCAAGTGAAGCACCAGAAGAGACAGACAGACAGGCAGACATTTCGCAAATTTCCAGGCATCATTTTTTTTCACTTCCTAGTTTCTATTCACATCATGATTTCCCCTCAAATATGTCACCAGGATTTTATGGTGCCTTTATGTTCTCTTTTCCTTCTCTCCCCTTCTGCTGGCTTCGTGTTTGTTTTTATTGATTTCGGGAAGCGTGGCTCATTGGTCATAAATTTGAAAGCCTTCGTGTCTTGCTCTGCTGTTGCCACGGCTGTAACGTCGCTCGCAAATGAGGCACATACGCTCGGCGTCCTCTCTCCTTTTCCTCACCACCTGCACTGCTTTAATTCTTATTTAGGCAAAGCTCAAAAGGGTACCATAGATGACTGAATGACCACAACCACTTTAATTTTCTTGTCACTTTTTATTTATATACCCAAGCACCCATTTATTATTGGAAAGCAGTCATTTTTCAGTTTGCTGGGCATACAATTCACAGAAGTGGACATTAACCCATGTAACAGCTCACCTTGCTTTACTTGATATGTCTATCCTGAAAATTTGGCGATAATTTCATTTTAAAATATTAATTCACCTCATAAAGGCACTAAAAAGCTGCCAATAAAAGGAATGATAGTGCAAATTACTTCCATCAGCTGGAGTAATTAATCTGAGTTTGCTTAAACTGAGGAACACCTGTACCTGCCATGTTTAAATTTTGACCAAGTAGGGCCCTGAATCTTAGGTTCCCAAAATTGGAAGTGACCCCAAAAGTTGGTCCAGTCTTTCCCTAATTCGAGATGTCAGAGAGTGGGCACAGGGAAGGGTGGAATTGGAAGGAGGGAACTAATAACTTGGTGAATTGCTATAGCGGACCAAAATGTCTCACTCTAATTTTCAGTCTGAATTCTGCCCTAAGAAATAAAGGCTTTGAATATATGAAGAAGATGCTCAAGTTCCAATGTCTTATGCATAAGTTTAAGTATCCCTAGGGTCCTCTAGGACCTTCCATGTGACAAGGTTCAGATTCTTTGCTCTCCTGGTCATTTTCTTCAGGTCACATCACAGTTTCTCAATGTTCTTCTCCAAATGTGTCACCTGGCATTGAACCCGGTGGTCTCAGCTGGACTGAGTATAATCGGACTATTTAATCACTTGATGTGGACAGTAGATTTTTAATGATGTGTTACACTCTTGGCCGTTAGGGAGTTCGACAGCTGCGACAAAACCCCAAGTGTTTCCCAACTGTGTAGAGGCGTCAGGCCAGGCCTCTCCACTTCTGCAGGGGATTTTTGAAAACCTAAACGTGAGGTTCACATTTAATCTTTTTGACATTCATCTTGTTTTAGTCCTCCCCCGTGGGCAGTTTCCTCTGTCAGCCACAACTCTTCTGGGCATGGATTTGTATTCCTACCCTCTCGTTATCTCTTCTCTTTTTTTTCATGAGCAAACTGAATGCCTTTCTGGTTCTTCAGAGCTGAGTTTGAATTCTGACTCTTTCCTCCACCAGCTGCGAGATCATAAGCAAATTGGTTATCTCAGAACTCAGCTTCTCACCTGAGGGCTCCCTCCAGGTCGTATTTAATCTGTGAATGAACATTCTTTGAGTATCGACTCCAGACGCACCAGATAAAGTAGTTATCATTCAGCCTGTCTCCCTGCATTTTGTTCTCGAGGTTTGGTTACATGAAAAATGTAACCAAACGCCTGACTACAATCACTGTGTGTGCCTGTGGCCCTTTCCATATGTGCCAGTCTAATAACCTTCTAGGAAAGAAAACACCAGAACAGGGGCAACTCTTCCTTCGGGGCCATACTTGGGAAAATGCAAAGTGGAAGACATGTATCTTCTCACTCACATCCCCCCTTTCGTGCTTTCTGTTCCCTACTTCTTGCCCCCTTTTCCAGGCCATTGAGTTTCCTTTTGCTGTCTTTTAAACAGGCTGCCGTCACCGTACCTACAGCGCCCCATTCTCCCTCCACCCTGTTCCTCCTGCTCGATGGAACCAAGGCCCCTGTGTGTCGAAGCTTCTGACAAACCCATTCCTGGCAGGGGTTCCCATTGATCCGCTACCTCCCAGACCCACTGGAGACCCTCCTGCTGTTATGCCGGGCCTTCAGCAATCTGCCCCCATCGTGTGTCTCTAAAGTGACTTCAGAAAACCACACACTCCATGCACTGTGCTTTAGCAAATGGCTTCTCGTTATTCTCTAAGTGCCCCATCTGCGTCTTTGCCTCTGCACTGGTGTTCCTTCTGCCACCGAACGCAGGCGGCTATGCACAGCTGTGCAGCGGCCCCTGGTTGAGACTGCGCTGGGGCTGAAGCCCACCTGGTGTCCTTCTCCCCAAGCTGTGAGTTCTGGTATGGGGCTGCATCTGTCTCAAGGTATGGGCACCCTTTTCTAACTTAAACAAGGGCCCCTAGCCTAACTTCAAAACTGCTCCTTTAGGGCCTTACTCAGGACCTGCCCATCATAGCCTGTGCTCTTTCTCTTTTATTCTTCTGGGGGACTCAGTGTTTGCACCACTGGCTTGGTGCTGTGGCCATGTCAAATGGGGTGGGCCAGGACATGGGCTTTTGGAGTCAGGCTGCCAGAGTTCAAATCCTACCTCTACCACTAGCTATCTGGATGACCCTGAGCAAGTTATTTAGTCCTCTCAGCCTCAGTTTCCTCATCTTTAAAGCAGGAATAATGACAGTGCCTGCCTCATAGTGTTCTTGTGAATAATATGTGAAATATCCATCTAAACCACTTAGCATGGTGCCTGGCCCATAGTGGGCACTCAGTGAATGTTAACTACTGCTACTTTATGCACCAATAGCTAATGACTGAGGCGTGCTGTGGCCCTCAGGAAGCATGGATGCCGAAGTGCTACCTCACCGAGGAGGCCTGCTAGATAAAAGTCCAACTGAATTCAATATACAACAAATATTTTTTCTAGTACATCTCAAATTTTGATCTTTTGCACGGAAATTTCAGTGTTAAGAATTATAGCAAGAAGTCATTTAATCTTTTCATCATTTCATCTTGATTTTCCCTGCCGCCCCTTTACCTCACACAATGCCTGTCCTGCAAGATCTCTTACAGGGAACCGGGGAAGTGGGCTAACCCGCGGAATGAGATCTGAGGTCTCAGAATGAAGTTTTTGGTGTTCTTATGAAGGTGATAGTTTGCATACAGGAGTGCATATTTTATCATTCACATATCCTATGAGCTTCAAAATGTCCTACTTCCTTTCTCCACCTTTCTTGTATTATTTGTTACTTTTAATATTGTGTAGGTCCAAAGGCATCCTCTTACCAGTATGCGTACTGGAATACTATGTGTTTTGATAAGTGGGTCTTATATATTGAAATTTATGTTTTTATAAGTGAATTTTCTTGTAATCTAAACTTGTGGTAAAGCAGTAATCTTCTAAGCGCTCTTACATATTCAGATATTCCTCTTGTGATTATTCTGGCATTTCATATAGTTATTCTCAAATTCACTATGTGCTTTCTCATATCTATAACTTGTCAAATTTTTCCACTCTTGGCATTTGCACCACAGTGAAAAATTCCTAGGCAGCAGCCCCAGCAAATTATTAGTCCCGTCACGTAGTCACCAGGTTGACATTTACTTGTATCACCATGTATTCGTCCTGATGACAAATAATCCTCAAATCGGTTGCCGATACCTTGGCCTTTCTTTACATGCTCTGTGCCTTCCTAGAGCCTGTCTCTTCCTGGAACCACGGTAGTAGAGGAAGTTACTAAACCACTGGCAGAACCAAATGTGGTTCCGTTTTTTGCATTTTTTTTAAAAAATAGTCTTTCACTTCGAATCTCCCATGACTGACTCCTTGCTGAGATTCTTTTCTCTCTTTCCCAACTCTGTCTACATGGCCCAGAAGCAGTGATTTCTCCTTGGGAAGGTCGTCTTCAGATTTTCTGCTGCTTGATTCCACTCATGCTCCTCATCTCTCCCAGGAGTATCTCCTATATACTTTACACATTTACTCAACAGTGACTAGGCCCTACTTTGTGCCAGGCGCCGTGCTCAGCATGGAGACCCAGAGTGAACCAGAGAGTCCATCCTAGGCCTTGGCTGGCTCACAGTGTCACAGGAAAGACGGACAAGTCAGCCAGACAAGCGAGGTTGGTGTGACAATGGAGCCAAACCTCAAATGGTTGAGGAGCCTGAAGGGATGGTTCCTATTTAGCCTGGGATCGACACAGGTGCAGGAGGAACCAGGGGACTTTCCCAAATGAGGTGACATACTCAGTCTTGCAGACAAGTAGAGGGCATGTACATCACAGAGAGGGAGAACGGCCAGTGCAAGTAGGAACAGGGGAGCCCGTTTGGCTGGCTGTGGCCATCATTGACTGGCGGGGGTGGGACTGGGGATTTGGCTGAGGGCAGACCACAGAGGGCTTTGTGTAGCATGCCAGAAACTTTGGACTTTATTCCAAAGGTGATAGGGAATAACTAAAAATTTTGATAACATTTGCATTAGGGAGCGTTTAATCTGGTGGCAGTGTGAGGGACTGGAGGGCGGGGGGTTCTGGATCTTGAGAAACTATCGTAAGTAGCCTTGGTTAGAACTGATGGAGGCCTGAAATGTGACGACGAGAGGTCACACTCTTTCTGTTGACGCTGGGACTTTGCATATGCTTTTATCTCCATAGCAAGTGTTTTCCACATATCATCTCATTTGATGCCTGCAAGGACCTAAGCAGTAAGAACTATTTTCATATGAATCTGATAGATGAGAAAACTGAGGCTCAAAAATGTTAAACACAGGCCAAGGTTCACATGCATCAAAAAATGTGGAGCCAGGATTCAAATTCAGCCTGTGCACTTAACCAGTATTTTC